GGCAAATACCACCCCTGGCTGGCCCCAGAGTGGAGTGAGAATGGAGAATTTGCAATATATTTCCCCCAGGAGTGGGGAGGGAATGGAGATTTTGCAGTATCCTTCTCCTGCCACGCCCACCAAGCCACACCACGCCCACCAAGCCACGCCCACAGATCCAGTAGTAAAAAAAATTGGATTTCACCACTGGTCCCCATGCTACAAAAATAGATGTTGAGACTTTAGAAATAGTGTAGAGAAGAGCAAACACAGGTGATTAGGAAGCTGGAGGCTAAAATTTTTGATTAATGATTGCAGGAACTGGGTATGTCTGGTCTAATGAAGAGAAGGACTAGGGTAGGGGCAGGGATCCAAACTTGGGAACTTTAAGACTTGTGGACTTCAACTCCCAGAATTCCTCAACCAACATTTATTTATTTTATTTTTTATTTTAATTTGATTTATATGCCGCCCTTCTCCGGAGACTCAGGGCGGCTTACAATGCGTTAAACAATAGCCTTCATACTTTTGTATATTTATCCAAAGTCAGCTTATTGCCCCCACAACTGGGTCCTCAATTTACCTACCTTAGAAAGGATGGAAGGCTGAGTCAACCTTGAGCCTGGGGAGATTCGAACTTGCAGTAATTGCAGGCAGCTGAATGTTAATAACAGGCTATTAGTTTGCTGCGCCACCACGCTCCTTGGCTTCTTGGCTGAAGCCTGGCTGGCTGAGGAATTCTGGGAGTTGAAGTCCACAAGTCTTAAAAGTCCCCAAGTTTGGAGACCCCTGGACTAGAGGGGGTGATATGATAGCAGTCTTCCAATATTTGAGGGGTTGTCATAGGAGGGGTGGGGTTCAATCTATTCTCCGAAGCACCTGAGGACACAAGAAGTAATGGATGGAAACGTATCAAAGAGAGATCAATTTAGAACTAAGGAGAAACTACATGACAGTGAGAACAATTAATCATTGAAATGGCTTGCCTCCAGAAGTTGTAGGGGCTCTATCACTGGAGGCTTTTAAGAAGAGATTGGTCTCAAAACCGATACAGATTCCTCTGTTTGAGCATGGGGCTGGACTAGAAGATCCTTCCAAACTCTGTTATTCTCTTATTGTCTTGTCTTCTATCATCAATGCGGATAACGAAGTCTTTGAACTTCCTTCTACGTGGGATCTGACTCATCAGTTCTCCTTCCTAAATTGCTAACAACTGGCTTAGATAATAATATTCCCTATTTCTCCACCTCTCCCTCAGTCAAAACATGCTTCTTCATCAAAAATAAACTCTCAGTTTCAAAACTCCCCAGATCAACTTCAGGGAACTCCTTCCCAATAGCTTTCCACTGACTCAACAGGTCAGTGTCTCTGCTCACTAGAGACGGCCAACTGAAACAAAGCCAATTTGAAGAAACATTGAGAAAATTTTCTTACAACACATCCAGCACTAAACATCTACTTACCATGTTCATGTACAGCGTATGACACAATCATGTTCCATTTAGAACATTATCAGTGGGCAGAAACATTTGCTTCTATCATGTACAGTTGGTCCTCAACTTACAATAGTGTTTCTCAACCTTGGAAGGTTGAAGATGGGTGGACTTCAACTCCCAGGATCTGGGATTCTGGGAGTGGAAGTCCACCCATCTTCAACCTTCCAAGGTTGAGAAACAGTGACTTACAACATTTTATTTATTGACCACTCCAAGTTACAACAGTGCCTTATGGCCATTTCCCATAGTTACAACCTTTGTACAATAGCATCCCCATGATCATATGATCAACATTCAGATGCTTGGCAATGGTTCATACTTACGACCATTGCTGTGTCCCAAGATCATGTGATCCCCTTTTGCGACCGTCTGACAAGCAAAGTCAATAGGGAAGCCAGATTTCCTTAACAACCGGGATACTAAGTATCAACTGCAATGATTCACTTAACAACGGTGGCAAGAAAGGTGATAAAATGGGGCAAAAAATCTCACTTAAGAAATGTCTTATTAACCAGAGAAATTTTGGGCTCAATTGTTGTCGTAAATTGAGGACTACCAGTAGTATCAGTCAACCTATAAAATTATTTCCTAGAGCTTGGAGGATAGATTGATTGTGGAGATAACTTTTTCTCTTTCTTTCTTTTTCTTTTTCTTTCTTTCTTTCCTTCCTTCATTTTCCTTCTTTCTTTCTCTTTCTTTCTTTCTTTCTTTCTTCTTTCTTTTTCTTTCTTTCTTTCTTTCTTTCTTTCTTTCTTTCTTTCTTTCTTTCTTTCTTTCCCTTCCTTCCTTCTCTCTCTCTCACTCTCTCTCTCTCTCTCTCTCCCTCCCTCCCTTCCTTCCTTTCTGTTTTGTTTTTGTACTTTGCATTTCCTGGCTTGTTACATCTTTAATTTTATTAAGTTGGGGTTTAGTTGTAAGCTGCTTAGAGTTATTGGAAATTTAGTGGCAACGTAATATAATGTAATGTAATGTAATATAAATTGTGTTTTCCTGAGTTGGGATAAAATGCAGGTAATGTGTCTCTATAAAAAATCTTGTGGGGTGGATGTGGCAGCAAAGTTGTGGCCGAAATCCTTGATTTGGTATGCTGGTTTTCTGCAAGCCAAATTGAACTGTGAGCTATCATGGAACATCTAACATCAGTTGAGCATGACTTACTGGAATGAAACCACAAGGTCCATGGTTGCACAAACCTTTTTGACCACAAGCTGCATCTCCATCTCTGGAATGTATCAGGAGCTGCACTTGAGGGAGGCGAGTGGCTAAGCTTGAAATAAGGTGGTTTAATTTTAATTTACTGCAAACTGATGATAACAACCAAGAATGGCTCTGGGTCTCCTATGGCCCTTAATCATCAATCATGTATCATGGTTAGGGGTAGCAGATTTAGGTCTGCAAAAATCCAAGCAACAGGCAGCAGCAATGATGTCGAAAAAAAGCATCTTGGCTCCCATCTATGATCATTGGGATATGTGCAGACTTTCTCTGGTAGCCAAAATCATTGCAGATCTTGTGAGATCTTTGCAATCTTGGTTCATTTTAATTAGATGTGAAAATCACTGGATCTCTTGGACCTTGGAATGTTGGAGCTGAATAGTTAAGATTTTTACATGATCAGAAACTATCAGCATCAAAAACATCTAATTCCCACAGTACTATCATAGGTCTAAGTATATTTATCCATATACCGTAGTATGGCTATATTAAAGGTAAAGGTAAAGGTTCCCCTCGCACATATGTGCTAGTTGTTCCTGACTCTAGGGGGCGGTGCTCATCTCCGTTTCAAAGCCGAAGAGCCAGCGCTGTCCAAAGACGTCTCCGTGGTCATGTGGCCGGCATGACTAAACACCAAAGGCGCACGGAACACTGTTACCTTCCCACCAAAGGTGGTCCCTATTTTTCTACTTGCATTTTTTACCTGCTTTCGAAGGTAAGAAATTGCACTGGAGACAAATTCCTTGTCACATTTGGCCAATAAAAGTGTAGTGTAGTGTTCTCTTCTAATTCTACTGTGTTCTGTTCTGTTCTGTTGTTCTGTTCTACTCCTTATTTTTGTATTTAGATATATATGTACTATGTATTATGTGTATTTAAAACAAAAAATATTTTTTTTAAAAAAAAGTCTGACTTCACTTGGTCTTTATGCATAATGAGAATCCAATCATTGTTGGATAGAGTTAGTGTACAAGTAGCTCTCGATTATAAATGAGCCCAAAATGTATGTTGCTAAGTGAGACATTTGTTAAGTGAGTTTTGCCCCATTTCTTTCTTGCCACAGCTGTTAAGTGAATCACTGCAGTTGTTCAGTGAGCAACATGGTTGTTAAGTGAATCGGGTTTCGCCATTGAGTTTGGAAGGTCATAAAAGGGGATCACATGACCCCAGGACACTACAACCGTCATAAATATGAGTCAGTGCCAAACTTTTGATCACTTGACCATGGGGATGCTACAACGGTCGTTAAGCGTGAAAAATGGTCATAAGTCACTTTTTTTCAGTGCTATTTTAACTTTGAATAGTGTTCTGCCTCAGCTACGGACCCCAAAGAACACAGCACACACAAACTCTATACAAAGCTTATTTTACTCAAATAACTAAGTCTTTATCATTCAAAGGCTGTTAATGAACTGTCTTAACAGCCTACCAGAATTCTAAGATAAGGTAATCAGTCTTACTAGAGTTGGCAGAAAGCCCAGAAACAATTTTGCAGACACGAAGGAGAGTGAACTAAAGTTGTTCTCTACAGCTTGTTGCAAGTGGCATTCCTTCTTAAATAGGCTAAGGGAGTGGCTAATTAGCCCCAAGCCTTACTCTCGAGAAGACCTCCTCCTGAGGAGCCACTCCTGCCTTTTGGCAGCTCTGCGCGCCCGTGCATTGAGAAGAGGCTCCTCCTCTTCGTCCTCTTCACTTAAAGGAGCTTCTGGAGGTTCTGAAGGCCCTGGCTGAATCCCCGCCTCTGGCACCACATCTTCTCCAGCCTCCTCATTGTCTGACTCGGGTGCCAGCTGCACAGGCTGCTGGCGCAGCACCACACCAGCCTCCTCGTTGTCGGAATCAGCTACAATCTGCACAGGCCATTGACGGGCCACAACAAATAGTCACTGAATGAACTGTTGTAAGTCAAGGATTACCTGTATTGTGGAAAAACCATTTGATCTTAGCTTGTTGAAAAAAAAACCATACAGAATTATGAGACTGAAGTGCCACGTGCTACAAATAATTTGACTTAAAGAGAAGTTTTAACGGAATTGCAACAATGCGGTAGCCTTAGTTTTATTCAAATGCATTTTATTTATTTTTTGCAACAACATGCCCAAGTTTTAAACGTTTTGCTCTGTGCTTAGATATAGGGTGTGTTGGGGTGGGGTTTTTTTTGCATTTCTCTCACAGTTTCGGTCCCACTCCTGGAAAAAAATGGAATACATTTTGGAGCATCAAAAAACCATATCCGGGTTTTTTTTCCAATTACTCTTTAAACAGACAGACAAGACAATTTAGCAAATAAAAGAGGAGGCGTTAGAAGAATCTTTGGAGGAACTGTTTACTGCAGAGCAAGGAGGTGGAAGCAACCTTAAAACAGTTAAGAACAGGCAATACATTTCTATGATACATAAATATGAATGACTAGTAATTATTCAAAATAAAAAAGACAGGGACCTAAAAACAAAGGATGTTAAATAAATTAAAGCCCTACACAGTACAGAAAGCAAAAAGAAAAAGAAAAGGAAAGGAAATTAAGCAAAAGGAAATGTAGGAAATTGTTCCCAACCAAAATACTGTTAACCAATGGGGGAAATAAATATTTTTCCCAACATATTTAATTCGGAGTGTTTTGGATTTACAATTGTGGATTCTTCTGGCACAGAATCGCCCTTCTTCTCTATTAACTAAAGCTTTGTTCTTTTGTCATCAAGACGGTTTTTATACAAAAAAATCTTACTTAGAACCTGATATGGATTTTTTTAAAAAGTCAGCTCTAGACCCAGGCAAGGAAAAAAAATGTACATTTCTCCCTCCTCCTTCTTCTTTTTTTAGACAACAGTGTATATAAACAACATTGTGCTCGTTTTCCACATCTGTTTTGGTTGCTTGACAACGTTTTGAGCATAAAGACATTTTAAGGCTGAAAGAGGCAACCAAATGAAGCATTCTGGAAGGCAAATTAGTCAACAAGGGGGACTATGGATACACACTCGCATACCCACACCCACACTCACACTCACAAACACACATACACATTCTTGCAGATGGGGGAAAAAAAATAGGTGAATCATTTATACCAACTTGCATTTAATTGCCACCGGAACTGCCCAAGCAACTAAGTTTGAGCTTTGAAAAGTACCATGTGTAGAAATTCTAAGCTTCCTTTCTCCTTTATTAACGTATTTGGTCCGTTTATCAGCCAACAAAAAAAAAGAGAATACTTATTTCAAGTTGTCAGAACCAGGCAAGTCCTAATATGTTAGCCCCCGTAATTATTATTTGCATTTTCCCCGAAAGGCAAAGTTTGATCACAGTTTTTGTTCAGAAAAAAAGCTGGAAAGGTCCTCGTAAGAAAACAATGGAATTTCTAAAATATACCCTTATGTGGTCATCTTAAAAAAATCAACTATCAAAACATTTTCCTCAAAGGAAAAAATAAATTAGGGTAAATTTTTAAAAATGCAATACAGTGTCTTTGTTTTTTTTGTTTTTTCCTAAATGTCCCCCTTTCCCGGGATATTAAGCTGTCCTCAAGGAACCATTTGCAACTGTGTTCTTCCCAAAATTTGGTTCATGTTTTTGAAGCCACAGTTCAGCTAGTTGCTGCGTAGAACCGTACGTTGATGCTTTGGAACCCAAGCACATTTTATATTGTTTTGGATCAAGGTTAGGGTCACAAAAAACCGGGTGATGTACATGGACTACGCCAACTTCTTGGCTCCTGAACGTCTTGAGACCAGCCTGAATCACCTTGTTGAACAAATCCACATCCTCAAGACCCCAGCCCTGAATAGAAACATCAAACCCCCCTGCCCGGATTAAATCCTCCTTGTAAATACAAGCTATTCCAAAACCATAGTTCCTCCAGAAGCCAGTTTTCTGTGTAAAAGCATAGTGATTCTCGCTCGGAACTTTCCCGCTGTAGACAATCTTTGGATCATACTGGCTAAAGATGATTGGAAAATAAATCTGTTGCCCTATAATCGTGTTGGCTCTACACCGCTGGAGGAACTCTGCGGTAAAAACCAAGTCAACGTCACAAAAGAAGAGCAGAGACCTATTGTTGAACTGAGAAGATCCTACTTCGAGGGCCAGAGCTCGGGAAAAATCTCCAGAAACAGGTAAAATCTGCATGTCGGCCTTGGGGTACTTCATACGATACTCTCTCATCAGTTCCACCTGACGCGCCTTATCGGGATTCGAGTTGGAGTTGAACAGCAAGACAACCAACTTGACGTTCTGGTTAGGAATAAGGCAAGTCTTTTCAAAGTTGGCCATGAAGTGCACAAACATATCGAAGCGTCCGGAAAGAGGAATTAAGATGTTGATCTTTTGGTCTTTGGATTCCGTCTTCTCGGATTTGGACTTGCTCAGCTGGAATGGGACGAACATCTTAAGAGAATTGGAGAGAAAAGACAAGGACCCTGAATCCTGGTTGATTTTACTGGCCAGGTCTTTGGCATCCGTTTCATCATGTTCCGTAAACTGGACTTTGCTGAAGGTCTGTTGCAAGTAAGCGTGTCGCCGAACAGGGACGGTCATTTTCTTACCCTTGTGCTTTTTGTATAAAAGTAGCAAGTCAAGGACGTACTCCGCCCCGTACATGGGACTCACTCTTCGATAGCCATACTGTATCTCCTTAAAGTCGATGATCCGTCCCCTAGTCTTGGCGTTTGCGTTGATCATCTCCATGACTTGCATCACGACATCATCCAAGGCCTGACGCTGAGAGGAGTCCATGCCTCGGCGAGGTGGCTGCCCATCTACCATGGAGTACAGGTACTTCCCTGTCAGGAATTCCCACTCCAACACCTCCTCGCGCTGTTGCGGTTGGAATCGCATGAAGGAAGGCGCGATTCCCAGCTGAAGGTCCTCTCGACGGACTTCGGTATTGCTATATTTGCTCATGAGGACAATCTCTCGGTGCAGCTGAATAGTCCGGTATCGCAGCTCTGCTATCTTTCGACTCAGCATGTAGCTGTGAAGCCGGTACTGGTAAGGTGGACTTTTGTTCGGATGCAAAGTGATGGCACGGTGGATCTTGCTGTTGTGGAGGTCTCTGATATAGCCTTTTTTGTTCTGCTCGTAGTTTTCATAAAAGAGCTGCTGCATCTAGGGAAGAAGAGAAGGGAGGGGAAGAGGATCATTATAGGGTCCATCTGCCTTGCATGTGGCTTAGACAAACAGAAGGGCTTTGGGGGATAAACAGCTCTCTTAGGCCCAAGTTTAGTTAAACCAGCAGCTTCCCTGAGGAATTAAGGGAATTAAAAGTTTTAGACTGGGAGGGGAAGAAGAAAAATAAACAAAATTGAACATCTACCATAAAGCTAGAAATCAAGCTGGCTTGTTCTAAGCAATAGGAACAGTATTTTCCCTAAAATACTGTTTATTTATTTCCCTAAATAAAAGGCTTATTGTGATGTGAAATGATTTTTGATGGCAGAAAGAAAGAAAGAAAGAAAGAAAGAAAGAAAGAAAGAAAGAAAGAAGGAAGGAAGGAAGGAAGGAAGGAAGGAAGGAAGGAGGGAAGGAAGGAAGGAAGGAAAGAGAGAGAGAGGAAGGAAAGAAAGAGAGAGGGAGGAGATTATAATGAGAGGGAGGGAGGGTCTGAGGGAAGTCCTGCCTTAGCACTTGAAGGGAGGGAGAGGAGAGGGAGGGAGGAAGGACAGGGAGGGAGGGAGGGAGGGAGGGAGGGAGGGAGGGAGGGAGGAAGGAAGGAAGGAAGGAAGGAAGGAAGGAAGGAAGGAAGGAAAGAAAAGCAGGACAAGCAAACCAAATCTTTACTGCATTTGGAGATTTCAAAAAGATGGAGACTCAAAAAGATGGAGAAAATTCAAATGTGTTTGAACACAAACACCGGCCCACCTACCCACTACCACCTTCTCATCACTGTGATCCATTTCTTCCCCCTTTGGTATAGAACATAAAACTATACAGGGAACCTCCTAAAATATTGATTCTTTTTGGGCCAATTATTCATTTTTTTCTTAAAACGCCCAAGCTGCCTTTTGAAACCAAATTTCCCCAGGGAGGCTTACAGCCTATTAAAATTGCACAATAAAAACTGAACAATAATTCAAATACCAACAAAATATGAAACTGATTCAAATGAGAAATAGAAGTAAGAGCCGCAGACTGAGGAATAATAAATTATTTCACTACAGTATTAAAATTATGTCAAATTAAAAGAGCTAAAAAGTAAGAGAACAGCCAGCCTGCTGTGGTAGTTAAGGTACCAGGGTAAAACCTGGGTACTGGGAGTTCTAGTCCAACCTTAGGTGCCAAGCCAGCTGGATGACCTTGGGCCAGTCAATCTCTGCGACCCTGGGAAGGAGGCAATGACAAATCATTTCTGAAATCTTGCCAAGAAAATCACAGAAACTTGTCTAGGCAGTTGCCAGGAGTCAACATTGACTCAAAGGCGGTCATAAAAATTAAGATAAAGCTTTAGCTATATAATGTAACGGAACCGATTAGTGCTCTCAAAAGTTCTTCATCAAAATAAGGTGACATCAGTAGGATAATTCTCTGAAAAATCAACAGAATACAAGCAGAAGTCAATACTGACTTGTAGATGCAGAGCAAAAAAAGAAATCAAAAAGTAACTAGATTCTTTAAGTGGAAATAAATAAATGACCATGCTATTTCAATGTTCATAGTATGTTTTTCTATTTTACCAGAGAGTGCCACTGTTCTTTGGATTTTGACCATACTGCCTCCTAATAATAATAATCATTTTTATTTTTTTTTATTTTTTTTAAACGAAACAAAACATAAAACAACCATCATCCATTACAATTAGAGAAAGTGTATCAATCGGTTACAATTCTTTTGTGCTTGATCCCATATCCAAAATTTACAGGTTATTTAATTTCTCTTATTTGACAATTTATTATATCCCTTTATATTATTAAGCGGTTTTTTTATGGGAGATAAGCCATTGTTAAATAATTGTTAAATGAGAATAATAATCAAATTTTTGAAGTATTTCATATATTTGGGCATTTTAAAGAGTTAGTTTTGGGCTTGAATATTGTATTCCCAAAGTAATTTTATAATTTAGTGATTTAGTGATAATCACTCCATGCACATACGGAAACGTATGACTAGTCTTTTTTTCCCAAATTACTTGTATAGGGATTATTCTTTATACTATTTACCGTACTTTTCAGAATATAAGACACAGTTTTTCCCCCCTGAAATAGGGTAGAAATCTTGGTGCATCTTATACAACCGAATACAGACATTTTTGGCCTCCCAAAACCCCGCCTTGCACATCCCGTTTTTGCCAAAAACAGGCTTGTTTTTCACAAAAACCGGATGAGCAGAGGGTTTGGGAGGCCTGCAGAGTGCTCCTGGGGGCTGGGGAGGGCAAAAACGTGATGGGGGGGTTGGGAGGCCAAAAATCTCGTATTTTGGTCCAATACTTTTTCACTTCGGGGCATTACCACCAAGCATGAAAGAAGGTACCTTGATTTTGGTTGCATTTCCAGCATTTGGGGTTTAGATTTGGGTACATTTTGACCAGCTATCGCTGTAGGTTTTTAAGAAGAAGTGGATAGCTATTTGTCTGGAATAGTATAGGAGAGCCTAGAAGACCTCCAAGGTGCCTTCCAGCTCTGTTATCCTGTTTATTCTGTAGTTCTGATTTTAATTTGAGCAGGGTGGAGAGGAAGAGAAATGGCTAGAGAAAGGTCTCACATACCAAGGCAAGCTTGAATTCCTGGACTCTTGGGTTCTATTGAATGACATCTCAGGTAACAGCTGGTATCGGGAAACAGCAAGGGGAAACACAGGTATCTTAAAGCCATGAATGATTGATGGATGGAGAGAAAATAAGGGGCTCAAATTCAGACAGCGTCCATCAATATTTAAGCTTAAAAAATTCAAACACCTGCTAAACCTCAGTTGGCCTATTCTACCAAACAGGGGACGCTGATGCGCTAAATATAATAGGAATTTGGACTGATAGCCATGATTGCAGAAATAAGCTACAGCCATGGCACATCCTTAGTGGAACATGGCATGTAAAGAGTTGACATTAATAGCTTTCTCTGTGAAAAATAGCTTCTGTCTCTATTGCCAGGAGAGAGAACTGCTGTAGAGGAATTCTCTCTTCCAGGAAACTATAATAAGGGTAAACACATATTTAATTTTATATATTCTAACAGCAACCAGGATTGTATATGCACAATACTGAAAAAATCCAGGAACCCCTATAGATGATGCTATAATCAAAATAAATTCTGGAATGTGCAGAAATGGATAGGTTAACCCTAAAAATCAAAGGAAAAGAAGACTCGGAATATTTTATAACATGGGAATTATTTTACAAATGGTTAATTGACAAATACTGAGGTTAGAGGAGTGGATTTATGTAAAATATGGACTACATGAGAAAGAAAAACTGATGAGTAAGTATTTTGACGGTTATATAATCGATGCTATAATGGAAGATAGTATACTTTTCAATAACGATTGATATTATCGCATATATATGTATATATGATTATAATGGTTATGATGATGTTTATATGTTAACACTTTGGACACCTAGAAAACGCACTGTTCAACATAGAAATGGCATATAAAACAATAAAAAATATTTAAACATTAAAAACATTTTCCTGGAGGGTTAATATCTGTTATTCTGGTAAAATCATCATGAAGGCAGATTTTAATTTAAATAAGCTGCTAAGACTACAAACGCCCATCAGTTATCAACTTGGATCAATCCAATCACTGATATGTCAGCTGAGATGGAACACAAAATAGGAGGCAGACAGGTAAAAGAAGCTCATGGTTTATTCGTTAAAAAAGAAAGAGGATAGCTGAAAACAAGATATCTTATCATGTAGCTCTTTCCTTTGGAACAATAGTGCCTTGGTATTTAACTGCTTTGAAACTCACCTCCTCAATTTACAACCACAACTGAGGCCAAATTCTTTGTTGCTAAGCGCGACGTTCGTTAAGTGAATTTTGGCTCGTTTTACAAGCTTTCTTGCCACAGTTGTTAAGTGAATCAACTGCCGTTGTTAAATTTGTAACCCCCTAGAGTCGGGAACGATTAGCACATATGTCCGAGGGGAACCTTTACTTTTTACCTTATAAATGCTAATGAAATTGCTACATATATGCAGCCTGCCTGGAAATCTCAAGTGCTATAATTATGCTAGGGAAAACAGTACAATGCCTGCCTTCTTTAATAAATATACCTATACTTTTCAGGAAGGTTGGAAGATCTTATGGGGAGGGAGAGAGGGAGGGAATAAAAGCAGTTTCTACACATCATGAAACCCATAATTAAGCTTAGAATATCTATGTCTGTAAATGCTCAGGCAGAACTTCAGAGTATTGTCTTCTGCTTGCCTTCCTTGTCTTGGTTTTGGAATTCAGAATATCCCAAAGCAGGAAACAATTGTGTTTTAATATATTCCATAATATATTCCATCTACACTCAATTTATTTAATCTTGGTTACAGTAAATTAAAATGGGCCCGAATGAGTAATCCACAAAAGTAGCTACCTGTTGGGTTGAGGAGAGGGTGGAGATCTTGATTTGCTGAGAAATAAGGTTAGCTATAAATGGAGGTCTTTGGAGGTCTTCTAGTCCAACGTCTATGAAAATTCTCAGTCATCCAGGCCATGGCTATCCCTAAGGTGCTTTTTTTTTTTTCAGGAGGCAACTAGACTTCTTTATTTTTCTTTGAAGACGTTTTGCTTCTCATCCAAGAAGCTTCTTCAGCTCTGACTGGATGGTGGGGAATGGAAGGATTGATATTCCTTGCAGACAGTTGGTCATTTACATTCTTTTATTTTAGAGTTGTAAAGGCCACCAAGTCAGAGCTGAAGAAGCTTCTTGGATGAGAAGCAAAATGTCTTCTCAAAAGTCCATTTGTCTCTTGAAAAAGCAGCTTTGGGACTTCTAGCCCAACCTTCTGCTCTAGCAAGAGACCTTAGACCAGTGATGGCTAACCTTTTTGCCATCACGTCCCAGGAAGGGGGGGAAGGTTTACACTCACGCGTGCCCACACTCATAATTCTATGCACCCTGCCCTGCGCATGTGTGCGCAACCACCCCTTCCCCCCCACTCCTGGCACATGATGGCCCG